CCCAATTCTATCTATTCTTCCTCCTTCTGGACAAATGCTTTTCACATTTGTCACTTCCTTTCCTTATCCATTGCCATGTGCCAGGCTCAGATCTTCATTTTAAGCCAAGACCATTGCACTTCTCACAGTGGTATTCACTTCCTCTCATAGAACATCTAATCATTGCTGCTTGATTAATCTTAGGGTCATGTCAGTCAGTATTGAGGATGTTATGTAGACCAACATCTGTCTTCCTTAAGTGTTTATTTTAAAGCCATTTTTCTACCACAAATATGAAGTGATTTGTAACTCCCTGCTGTGTAACTCAAACTCATCCCTGCCTGGTCTCTTCTCCTCTTCTCTGAGGATGAGTCTCAGAGTCTTCCTACACCATCACTCCCTTAAATCCCCTTTCTCCTCCCTCTGTCTAAACTTGAGACTACTTCCCCCCTCCCTAGAAATGCAGAGTATAGCGCCATGTTCAGAACATTGATTTGAGGAGCAGACACACCCAGTTCAAAACTGTGTTTGCCAATTACAAGCTATGCAGTCCTGGGATGGCTACTTAACAGCTATACCTCTCAGTGTTCTTATCAAAAAATAAAATGGGGAGAAAACTTGGGTTGAGAGAGAGTTGTGAGGATCAAACAAAACAATGTCCAGCCCATAGTATATGATTGATCTCACTAGCAAATCTTTATGCCAAGCACCTGGAATCCACACGACTTTTCTAGCAGTGAAATTTTCTAGTGGGGCCAACATAACGAGAAGCACCCTTAAACACCTGCAGTCCCAGGCTGCAGTGAATCAGAAACCTCATGACCATGTGCGATAGTTTTTACCTCTTCTGCTCAAATAGCGTTTCTTTAGAGAGGCCTTCCCTGACCCCATCTAAAATCCCTATACACCTCTAGCTAATGTTTATGCCCCTATCGTCTCAATTTTCATCACAGAACTTTTTGCCATGTAGAATGATCTGACTTTCAGGCTCGTTTTCTTCTCTTTCTTCACCCTGGAAAGTGAGGTCTATGCTGGCAGGGTCTTGATCTCATGCCTGGTTCTGTCCCAGCACCACGAACAATGTCTGATAGAGTTGAACAAATGAACAAATGAGTGAGTCTCTGGCTCTCTGATGTGTTTCCATCCTTTAGACCCAGCCCAGATCTTTTTCCCCATGAAATCTTGTGGATAATCTAGTCCATAGTAACTCATCCTAACTCAAAGTCCTGTATGCAACAATTCCTCAATTGCATTCAGTTGAATACCTATAGCAATTGCCTGTGCCTTGTTCTGCTTAAGACATTTCTTGCCTTCTGAAACTGAGTTATCATTTATACTTTGTATGATTGTGTTTCACATTTCCTGAATCAGACTATAATGTCCTTGATATCAAGAAATGTTTTTGTACTTCTCCCAAAAATTCTTTAGAACAACAATTCTCATATGATGCACTAATAAACATTCATGTATCTATTGACCCCTAATATATGCCTGACTAACATGATGCTGACCAGTAGGGATGCAATGATAAATACAGTACAGTCCCTAAATAATTAATTGGGTGACATTATTCAATTATCTCAGTGCATATTAGGAAACACCTGCAGCCCTTGGCTTTCTTAGATGGCATTAGAAGGCTTGTTCAAGAGACTGCAAGGTGTCAGTTGGATAACCTCAAGTGAGTTATATAAACTCTAGAAGCCACTCCTAATCCACTAAACAGAGATTATAATGCTTATCTTACAAAATTATGAAAGAGATAATATGTGTAAAAACACCTCATAAGTTGCTAAGTGTTAAATAAATACCAGTTGTTTTCACTCTCATAGAAACATAATTTAAGCTGAAATTGGAGCCATCACAAATAAAATATATGAAACAATAATGTCTGCTTATTCCAAAGAAGGCAGATTTTGCCTGGGCGATGACCTTGTGAAAGATAATACATGATTTATTTTCATAAAATGGAAAGAAGACTGCTAATGTCACCAAAAGCATGTACTAGGAAGCAGACATGACCACAAGCTGGTTAGAAAGGGAGGCATGATGACAGTCATGTTGTCTCAGGAAAAATGAAACTTAGAAATAAGGAAGCTGAAGCCCTCCAATCAAATAGCAACAAGTACTTATTTTAACTTCATTTGGACCAAAACTGCTTAGGCAATGTCTGGGAGAGATTGTGACCCCGCAGTCCTCGGCTAATGAGGAACCAGGGAAGGATGTGCATATTAGAAAATAAATTGCTTCTTGTAATTGCTCTGGGTGTGCCTGCCCACCAGACACTCAATCTTGCAAGACCGTTATTAAAGTCTCACTTCTACTGCACTCCATGTCTCTGGGTCCATCCTTTGATTTTAGGCGGGTGAGTAGGACTTTATGTTGCTAAATAGAGTTCTAGACCATCCAAAGTTGCTTTCTCGGTTTCTAAAATAAAATAATTCTTAAAATGCCCAATGTTTCTCATCAAAGTCATCCTGTGGTGGCCTGATGGGTTTCAGTGATACAGGGGCCTGAAGATACTCATACATGAGCCTGAAGATGCCATATTCATGGTCAGTCATTTGACAGATACCAACGTGTCCCCTGTGTGCAGCGGAATGCACTCCCATTCAGATTCACATGTCTCTCAGTGAGTCACCACCTTTCTTTCCCAAAACTCAGGCCTCAGCTTCCAGCTCCAGGATCAGCCCTTGCCCTCAGATTGGCTTTCCAGTATGTCGGTTATGAGTCAGGCAGTCCTCCCTTCCCACCTTACCGCCCATCAAGTTCCATCTGTGTTGTTGCTTCAACACAGGTCTCTGGTGTGAGAGAAGGTAGGTCTACAGGTGATATCATCTGTTTGTAAACAGCTTCTACAAACCACCTCCCACTGGAAATCACAGCATCTCAGACATGAAATGACGGGCCCTTCCCAAACAGAGCAGGGCTGCCTTCCTGAACCTCTCTGGAAAGGGAGCATTTGGCCTCAACTTAAACATCCTGGATGAATCAATGGAGCATTTCCGACCTTGCCTCTGAGTACAAACCTTTAACAGCTGCTTGCTGGGCGGATGCTATGACAGATCACCCGGTCACTGGGTCACTGAGGCATCAGAAACCAAGAAGCCAAGCTGCAATTTTCTAAGATCCTAGGTGTGTTCACAGAGGCCTGTGTGTCCCTTCCCCTGGGTGGGGGTGATCTCCAAGGCAGTGGAGCACGATTCTTTGAGTGTGAGGACATGACTTTGGAGTCAGACAGGTCCTGGTTCGAGTCTCATCTCCCTCACTGTCCCATGGACGTTCACTAGCCCTGTGACTCTGGCCTACTCACTGGAACTCTCTGAACCTCAGTGTCCTTGTATATAAAAAATGCAGAAATTAATGTCTATATTTTGAGATTATTGTGAAGATTGAGTGAGATAATTTATGTAAAGTGCCTCACGACTCACCCTGTGTCTGGAACAAAGTTAGTGCCAAATAAATGGTAGCTATTGTTACTATTATCACCATTATGATCTCTTCTTTCTGAACTCAGCAGACACCATGCAAATAATGTTGTTTTCCTCTTTCCTTTTGCCTGAAGTGAGTGGGTAAAATCTATGCCCACAGGCTGGGATCCTATTCAGGATCACCTCCCCATCACCACCACCACAGCCATCATCTTTAAAAAATGAGATTCAGCCGGGCTCGGTGGCTCAGCCTGTAATCCCGCGCCTTTGGGAGGCTGAGGTGAGTGGATTGCCTGAGCCCGCGGGTTCAAGACCCGCCTGGGCAGCGAGACCTCATCTCTACAATAAATCAAAAAATCAGCCGGGCGTGGTAGCGCATGCCTGTAATTCTGGCTACTTGGAAGACTGAGGCGGAAGGATCGCCGGAGCCCAGCAGGTCGAGGCTGCGGTGGCCGGGAGCGGCCACTGCACTCCAGTCTGGACGACAGAGTGAGACTCCAACTCAAAAAAAAAAGAGATTCACTCATTTCTGAGCACAGAATGTCATACCCCAGAGACTCCCAGAAACCCATGGCTCCTGGTTATGCCTCAGCTGGGAAAATGAGACCTGGAGACGGTGGTTCCTGATCTCCTGGAAGTCTCATCTTGGGTTAAGTGTCTTCCCCAACAAGTAAAGCAGTGGGTCAGTGATCGGCCATGAAAAAAAAAGAGAGACTCAGACTCAGCGAGTCTGTTTCCAAAGTTGCCAACAGAAATCTTTGCCACACAGTTGCCTGGATCTGCTGGACAAAAGAGTGGCACCTCAGTGGCAAGGCTTGAGAAGCCCTGGGGAGGATCAAGCAGAAAAGTTTAGCCCTGGAAATCAGGAATCCAGTCATCTTCATCATGCACCAGTTGAGTGGCTTTGAGCAAGGTACTTAGCTTCAGTTTCTCTTCTGTAAAATGGGTATAACAGCACCCACCTTTGGTGAGTCATTGTGAGAATCAGATGATGCTTGTCATATAACGTCCTTCGAATACTTAAAACAGTCAACATGTGATCAGTGCTATCACAATTAACTACCAGAAAGCCATATTCTTGTCCAGGCATAAACTGCAGTGTTCTGCCTTTCACAAGCATTTCAAACCTTTCCATCTGGACTGAATGAGAGATCATGGATGGGGTAATAGAACAAGATGAATAAATACACGAATGAAGGAGCAAATAGGAAAGGTGTTCTCAGGAGGTAGAAGCTTTATTATGACATCTTCAAAGGACAGTCAAATCAGTAGGCATTTACTGAGCATCTACTGTGTGCAAGCCTCTGCAGACAGTAGGGTCCAGTATCCCACCCATGGCTCTCAGATCCCCAAGGAGAACAACCACAGGGGGGTCAGGGAGTTTTGTGAGGTTCAGAACAGGGTGGGTTTCTGAACATCAAAGTGCAATTAGCGCTACGGGGCAAACTCTGAGGCTCCCGTATAGCTCCCGCGTGGGAGCTATCATTACAGGGGGGAGGCGACGTGTTGGGGGCAGCGGCGGGGCGGGGCCTCTCTCCGCTGGGTGGTTAGCTCTTGGTGCAGCTCCTGGGGGCCGCGGAGATCCTGGGGGTCTCAGCAGCCAGAGCAGCAGCCAGAGCTCTGGCAGTTGCTGGAGCGCTGGGACCGCTGGCTGCCGCCCCTGCAGCAGCAGCAGCCGCGACTCCGCTGCCGGCGGCGCCTGATTGGAAAGCAGCAGCAGCCGCTGGAGCTGGAGCCGCAGCAGCCGCCGCTGGAGCCGCAACAGCCGCCGCCGGAGCCGCAGCAGCCGCCGCCGGAGCCGCAGCAGCCGCCGCTGCAGCAGGAGGAGGAGGAGGAGGGCGCCGGGGCGGGCGCGGGGGCGGGGCACGGAGTGGGGCCCTGGGAGGACCCCTTGGAAAAGGCTTTTGAGGAAGCGGCGCTCTGCTGGGAGGACATCGCGTAGCTCCTTGTGGCGGACCTGGAAAAAAGACAGCCTTTCAAACGCGAGCTTTTTCTTTCCCGCAGTGCAACTCTGGGCTTTTGAGATTTGGCTCAGTATACAAATCAGACTGGCCTGGTGGTAAGAGGGTTGCAGGGGAAGCACCAAGGGGAAGCGCCATGGGGAAGCAAAGGTTCAGATCCCAAACAGGTGTTTCCAGTGAGTTAAGTCTTCGTAGAACAGGAAACAAGTCCAGGCAAAGAATCGATGGTTTTCCATTTCCTCTGCTTAGAATAAGGACCACCCAAGTTCTCCACAGTGGAAAATAAAGAGGATACTGTGGCATGTAGACCATCCAATTCAAAATCTTCACTCAGCTCTTTTCCTCTCCCTTGTTTTACTTTGCCACAGACCTTGAAGTGATATTCTTAAGCCACTAGCATTGTGTACAAACCCCCATCAGTTAGAAGATACACAAATCACATGCGTGCCCCTACCTCCAGGACCTAAAGAAACCACAAAGGCCAGAAGCATGTCCTAAACATTCTTTCTTGCCTATGCTTCTCATCCCCCACAAGCCTAAAGAAAATAGAAATATCCCTACCCAGGGAGCCAAAAGACCAAAGTAATCATCGCTTTTCTGTAGACTTGTCATGTACCCTTGAAAAAGCCACCCGCATCTGGCCTTCTTGTCCTCATTAGTACCATGAGAGGCTATGTCCAGGTGCCTTCCAGGGCTCTCCTTCCACATCCACCTGCTGACTATGTTCTTCTTTCTCTTCCTGTATTTTCAGCTCTGCCCACCCTCTCACCCAGACCCTGAGACTTACCAGACTCTGGCTGCACTGGAAGAGTCACTCGGTTCTCCAACTGGAACCAGTCACCTACTAGACAGTGGACTGAGCAGTGTCTAGCCAAGGAACCTTTTTAAAATGGGTCTTGGGAGGAGTCCATTTCCCAACAGACATGCTCAGCTGACACTCACATCCCAGAGACATTCATCACTCAGGTAGCACTGTAGGTGGTGCACGTGGGCATCCAAGTCATTTCACAGAGGTGCTAGGATTGCTGTGGCATGTTTACTTTCCAAACAGGACACTGTTCATAGCTCAGAGTTTGTCTGTGTGCTAGGAAAAGGCATGGGGCTCAATGAGGGTAGTCTAGGGCCACTTGTGCCCTTACCTACTATGTGTACACACACACACACACACACACACACACACACACACACCCTACTATGTACACACACACACACACGTACACATACAATTCCACTTGCCCACACATCAGTTCCTGTGTTGTCATCTGCTTGGTTGTTGGTAGTTTATCTACTTGTTAACTTGGCTCCTCCAAATGCTTCCATATGGGGTCAAGTGAAGATAATGGCAGTCCCAGTGGTGACTTCTCTTTGTCACTGGAGACAGGAAGAAAACCTCAGACAAAGTTAAGGAACCATCAAAATCAGACTGTAGTCAGGTTATCATATCCTTATAATACAGTATGGTGTGCCTAAAAGAAAAATGTGGGCAGACCTCTGACTCAATTGCAAAAAGGCAAGTCAGCCTGCAGGACCCTCACTTCCTACCCAGCTCCCCACCAGGAATCTCCCTGTAAATCCAGGTTCTCCCTGGGGGTACAGCCCAATGTGAAAGAAAAGAAAAGGAAGGAAAAGAAGAGAAATAGATGGAGGAAGGAAAGAAAACAAAAGAAAAAAGAGAAAGAAAGAATACCTATCCAAAGGTCCAAAGTGTGCATGATAAACAGTGCTTTTAGAATAACTAACCTGGCCGGGCACGGAGGCACACACCTATAATCCTAGCACCTTGGGAGGCCGAGATGAGAGGATTGCCTGACCCCACGGATCTGAGGCCAGCCTGGGCAACTTGGTGAGACCTTATCTCTACGATAAATCAAAAAATTAACTGGGCATGGTGGCATGTGCCTGTAGTTATGGCCACTTGGAAGGCTGAGGCAGAAGGATCACCTGAGTCCAGCAGGTCAAGACTGCGGTGGCTGTGAGCATGCCACTGCACTCCAGCCTGGGCGACAGAATGAGACTACAACTCAAAAATATAAAAAAAAAGAATAACTAACTTTAAGAATTGGAAGAGATTTGAGGTCAATTTCAGAACTGTTTCATAACTGCCTCTTAATCAATGCAACTGCCCACAGCCATGAATGTGAGCTGCAACAGAAGCTCAAGACTAAGAATTCAAGAATTAATGGAGAGAGACAAGTATGGGGGTGAGTGAGCTGGGAGTGGCACAAGGGAATAGATAAGGAAGGATAATTCGCAAAAGATACCAGTTTCAATGAACATGGCTTTAGAGCCTGACTAACAGGTTGCCTATTCTTAGCACACCTTGGTGAGTACAGATGAGACATTCCAAGAAGGAAGGTCAATGTTAGAAAAGAGAAGGAAGTAAGAAAGTAACAAGTTGGAGGCAGGATCTCTTCTGTGAAGTTGCACAAAGTTCTTTTTAAAAAAGGAATGAAGAGGAAGGCTTGATAGGAATCAATATGAGGGGAGGATTTGGAAAAGGACCTTCTCATTCCATGGACTCGCCATGGCTCCTGTACTAACTTAATTTACCTATTGCCAAGTCTTATCAAAGGAGGGACCAACTGCTTATCTTATGTGCAAATGGCTGATTTAAAATGATCTTTCCTGTCATAAGCCTTAAGAATATCTCCTGGAGCCAACCCTTTCCTAAAGGAATGCTGTTCCCTAGAGAACCCAACACAGTGACCAAAACCCCCTGCTTTCACATCCCTACGACACACACACACACGCACGCACGCACACATACACACACACGCACACACACTCCCCAAGCACATGGAGACAGTCTTTGGCAGAAAGCCGTCTTTCTTAGTTCTCTACTCAGACCCAAATCTGGGATTTCAGGATGCAGAGTAAATGTGTCCAGACATGTCACATCTACCTCCTAAACCCACTCTGCTTTAGAGAGACAGTTCCCCACCCAGTTCTCCTCCCTTGCCAACCTATGGAAGCACCTAGATTTTAATAATCAGAAAAGTGAGGTATTTATTTGTTGGAGCCTAGTATAAGCACTGTGGGCATTCTTCTTCCCCATGAATAAGAGATAAGCAATTTATCAAACCATAACCCAAACTTGAAGGAAACCTTCCCAGAATGTGACCCGTCTAGGTAGCCACCATCCTGTTCTCTTCAAACTCATTCTCTCCTCATAAAAGCTTGTGTCCAGTGTAATGGTCTCAGACATGATTCTTTCCTTTGAATATAAAGTCCCCAAATTCAAAGCATGAAAGGGAACATTGTTTCCCAGGAGCCTAATTAGCCTCCATGCCAGAACGTGCTTCCCAGACAGATGTTTTAAGTGTTCACTTGCACTTAAAAGAAGAGAAGGTTTCTTGATGCAGGGGGTGGGGAAGGGTGGGGACGACGGGAGGAGGTAAACAGAATGTAATCAGGAGGCAATGACATCAGGAATAAAATGCTTTATTGATACAGAGAAAACAGCTTCAAAACTGAATTTCAACACCTAGTCCTCCAAAGAACTGTTTCTGAGAAGGGAAACCAGGCCAGAGAATGTCGGAAGTTAAACCTCTAGACTTCACAGTGGAAGGAACATGGGCAGAATGAAGCAGGAAACTCAAAGCATTTCAGAAGCCTTTCGCTGGGAAAACAGGAGGAAAGGAGCCTCAGGTCGGTACGGGTCTTCAGCCAATGCTGCTAGTCAGTGCTTCTCGTGACCACGTCAGCAGCAGCCCCCAGAGCAGCAGCCGGAGCCCCCAGAGCTGGAGCAGCAACCGGAGCCCCCAGAGCTGGAGCAGCAGCCGGAGCCCCCAGAGCTGGAGCAGCAGCCGGAGCCCCCAGAGCTGGAGCAGCAGCTGGAGTCCCCAGACTGCTGGCCACTGCCGCTGCCACAGCAATTGGAGCTCTGGTGTCGGCGTCGAAGAGATCGGCGGAGCCTGTGGTGGCTCAGGCAGCAGCCGCCACCCCCAGAGCTGCAGCAGCCCCCTGAACTGGAGCCACAGCAGCCCCCAGAGCTGGAGCCACAGCAGCCCCCCGAGCTGGAGCCACAGTAGGAAGAGACTGGAGGGCACTTAGGGGGACACTTTGGGGGACATTTAGGTGTCTGGCACTTAGGAGGACACTTGGGAGTGCACTTGGGAGGGGGCTGGCACTGCTGCTGGCTCTGCTGGCAGGACATCTCGGCAGGAGCTGAATAAAACTGGAAGACAATGCAAACCCGAGGTTACTTTCTCACATTTAAAATTGAACTATGAATTCGCAAAATTTTATCTCTACAGTGATCACATTTTAGAAACCTAATCTCCCAAGACCAGCTATTTGGTACAACTATACATATGGCTTCTACCTGAGAACCCCATATTCTCAAATAAGTTTCTTGCAACTTCAGAAAGACACCAATCACTCATTCCCTTCACCTACCTTTCACCCTCCCCTTCCAGAGGAACCCTTCCATCCAAATCCTCCTTTCTTCTTGTCTTTCTTCAAGAATGTCCTCAACCTCCACCCAGGGCCTCTTTCTGCCCAAAGCACCAGCACCAAGAGGCCATCCTGGTCCCTGAGGAGCACTCTACCTGGTTCAGGCACTGGAGCAGATCACTCAGGAGACAGATGGACTGAAGTGCTTTCAGAAGCTTCTGCCTTTTATATGTCGGCTTCAAGGCGCAGACCATGTGCGGGATGCTGGGAGCATCTTTCATAAGGGTCATGGGTGACTCCCTCCCCTAACATCCCAGGGACCCAATTCCTCCATCCATAAGCATCTCAGGTATTGACCCACAGGAATAACCTCTGAGAATTGCAAATCTCTCGATGGTGATGGAGTTCTATGGATTGTACGAGTGCTTGTCAATCTTTCAGGCAGCTCTGCTATTCTCTCCATTTCCTGAGCTGGGTACTGCAGTTCTAAGCCTCTGAAATGAACAGAAAGTTTGTTTTCTGTCTGGTGTAGGAACTGGAGGGGAAATTTACAATATGGAAATTAAATGACCCTCTTTA